ACCTGCCTCTGCCTTCCAAGTGCTGGCTAAAGTCATTGTTTTTGTTGGTTTGTTTTGAGACAGCTGTGGCTGTTCCAGAGCTTGCTTGCTTGTTTTTTTGTTTGTTTCTTTTGTTTTCTGTTTTGTTTTGTTTTCTGTGTAGCTTTGGGGTCTATCCTGGCGCTTGCTCTGTAGACCAGGCTGGCCTTGAACACAGAGATCCACCTGCCTCTGCCTCCCAAGTTCTGAGATTTAAGGCATGCACCACCACCATCTGGACTAAATTAAATTTCTTTTTATTTTATGTGCATTGTTGTTTTTCCTGCATGTATATCTGTGTGAGTGCGTCAGATCTTGGAGTCACAGACAATTGTAAGCAGTCATATGGGCAATGGGAATTGAACTTGGGTCCTCTGGAAGAAAAGTCAGCGCTTTTGACCTGAGCCATCTCTCCAGGCCCTAAAGTCAATTCTTAATAAGCCTCATTTCAGCTAGCCCTTTTTCCTTCATTTCTGAATGTATTCATTCTTTATAAAGCTTTGCTCCTAACTATGTAAGCTTATGTTCAATGGTACTAATAGATGGGTTAAGAAATAAAAGTTAGCACTGGAGAGATGACCCCCATAGTTAAGAATACTTACTGCTTTCCCAACCACCTGTAACTTCCATCTCAGGGATTCAGTGCCCTCTGGCCTCTGTAGATGCCTCCATTTTACACTTGGTAAATATAAACTCTCACACACACTAATAAAAAAATATTTGTTTTGTTTTTTGAGACAGGGTTTCTCTGTGTGTCCCTGCCTCTCTTGGAACTCTGCAGACCAGGCTGGCCTCGAACTCGGGGATCTGCCTGCCTCTGCTTTCCAAGTGCTGCGATTAAAAAAGGATGCACCACCACCACCCAGCTTTTTTTTTTTTTTAAGAAAATATTAATTAATTTTCCTCTCTAAGGTTAGACATAGCCAGAGTAACTTTGTTACATTTTATGTTTGCCTAACCACTTTCCTTCCTGGAGGCTCTGAAAGAAGGAGCAGTAAGGGAAACCTTAGCTAAGCTCTAAGCAACCTGATAAATTTGGAGCGTTGGGCTACCAAAAAGAAGACAGGGTAGGGTTGGGGTGTGGCTCATTAGTATCATATTTGCCTGGAGTACTTGAAACCCTAGATGCAATTATACATGATAGGTAATGCTTGAGATCCCAGTGCATAGAGAATTGGTCATAAGGTTCAGAAATTCACCCAGGTTAAGGCAGGAAAGTTCTTCCTACTTACCCCTTTTTTTGTTTTGTTTTGTTTTTTGACCTGGTCCGCTTTATTTGGCCTTTTCTCCTTTTGTGGACTTAACCTTGAATTGTGTTCATTGCAGAATGCCTGGTTTCGGAAATCCCGCTTCAAGGGAGGGAAAGGCAAAAAGCTGAACATTGGTGGAGGAGGCTTAGGCTATAGAGAGCGGCCTGGGCTAGGCTCCGAGAATTCGGTGAGTCCATACTACAGCAATATTCTGACAGGTCCTGTGTTTTAAATTACAGTGATATTTTGATGTACCTGAAAGCCTCTTGAGTCCAAAACCCTGTCTCCCAGGGCAGGTGTATTTAATAATCAGCTGATGTGAGTCCATGAAATGCTGCTGTTTCTTATAATGAAACTTGCTGTGGAAGAAGCATGTATGTTTGCTTGGCTTACTTGACTTGCTCAGCATTAGTCTAGCTTTCATGGATCTCAAATTGCAATTCCAGTGTATATTTGAATTGCTGTCAGTATACATTCATGAAGCATTAGTGTTAAATTGGCATTATTGATAAACAGTATTCCCCATATTACAGTAATGTTGATTGTAGAAGTAATAGTGATTACTGATAATTATTGAGCACTTTATATGTGCCAGGGCCACTCTTAATATTATTTCAGTCTTTAAACCAATATAAGTGATTGCATCAGATGAAACAAAGTTACACAGCAGCAAATGTTGAAATAGATTCAGATTTTTATTGGTGTCACTTCAGATCCTATGAAGCTACATAGCATCTTTAGCATATGTAATTAATGAAATGTTGATATAATATTCACTCATATGGGTATAATTTGATAGCATTCTGATCACTGGGGTTAGTTCCCAGAAATAAATGCACTGGGTTGAGGGAACTTAAGCATTTTTAAATCCCTCTTCATTATAATACCTTTTCTTACAAAGGAAGTAACTTCTTAAAAAAAAATACCGAGCGCCTACTGCAGCCCTGGATCTGGATTTTGAGTGTAATAAGGCTATCTGTGGCAGTTGCTTTACTATCAACTTCTCATTATTATGTTTGGTGTTTTGGTTTGTTTTTTTTTCAGGATCGAGGAAATAATAACAATGTAATGAGCAATTATGAAGCCTACAAGCCCTCCACAGGAGCCATGGGAGATAGGCTGACAGCAATGAAAGCAGCTTTTCAGGTCTGAAATAAATACTCCGTTTTAAAAGCTTTCAACAGGGGGCTGGAGAGATGGTTCAGTGGTTAAGAGCATAGAGGATCCAGATTTGGTTTCTCAGCATCCACGTGGCAACTTACAACCGTCTTTCATTCCAGTTCCAGGGAATCTTGACACCCTCTTCTGGTTTGTACAGGCACCAGGCATGCATGTGGCACACACATAAATGTATGCATACAGGCCAGGCAGTGGTGACACGTGCCTTTAATCCAAGCCCTCAGAGGCAGAAGCATGGGGAGTCTATAGAACAAGCTCCAGGGAAGCTCAGACTACACCTAGAAACCCTGTCTCGGATAGGAAAAAAAAGTATACACAGGCAAAACACTTACAATGCATAAAAATAAATGTTTTTTAAAAAGGCTTTTAACAGGGCTGGAGAGATGGCTCAGCGGTGAAGAACACTGACTGTTCTTCCAGAGGTCCTGAGATCAATTCCCAGCAACCACATGGTGGCTTACAGCCACCTTGAATGAGATCTGGTGCCCTCCACCGGCATGCAGGCAGAAGACTGTATACACAATAAATAAATAAAATACTAAAAAAAAAAAGTTTTTTAACAATAAATCCTGGCAGAGTGGGAGACCTTCCTGAGATGGTGGTTGAGTCTGTAAGCTTCATGCTAGATTTAGAGCCTTCTATTTACTTGAATTCCACATAGAATTTTAACAGTATCCTGCCTGGATATGCAAGTAGGTTTTTTTATACTTTATCATTGTTAAACTTAGTTGTAAACTAAATTTTGTTGTTATACTTACTCCTGATGTCTTTTTCTCTTTCAGTCCCAGTACAAGAGTCACTTTGTTGCAGCCAGTTTAAGTAATCAGAAGACTGGAACTTCTTCTGCTGGGGCAAGTGGATGGACTAGTGCAGGAAGCTTAAATTCTGTTCCAACTAATTCAACACAGCAGGGCCATAATAGCCCAGATAGCCCCATCACCAGTGCTGCCAAGAACATTCCAGGCTTCAGCAGTTCTGGGAATATCAGCAGTGCCCCAGTGACCTACCCTTCTGTTGGAGCCCAAGGAGTCAACAACACAGCTTCAGGGAGTAACAGCCGTGAAGGGATTGGGGGTGGCAATGGGAAGAGAGAGAGATATACTGAGAACAGGGGTGGTGGCCGTCATAGTCATGGAGATGGAGGCAATCGGCATGGAGATGGTGGTCGCCATGGAGATGGATACCGTTACCCAGAAAGCAGCAGCCGTCATACTGATGGCCACCGACATGGAGAGAACAGGCATGGAGGAAGTACTGGCAGACATGGAGAGAGCCGGGGTGCGAATGATGGTAGGAATGGAGAAAGCAGGAAAGAAGGCTTTAATCGTGAAAACAGGATGGACCCCAAGGTGGACAGCAGCAAGATAGACAAAGTGGACAGCAAGTCAGATAAGACGCCTGATGGTTTTGCTGTTCCAGAGCCACCCAAACGTAAGAAAAGTCGATGGGACAGTTAGAGGGTATGTGAAAATCAGCGTGAATCAGTTGTCTTTAATTTTATTTTTAGAAAGGTTTTGGTAACTAGGTGTCTCAGGGCTGGGTTGGGGTCCAAAATGTACGGACCCCCTGCCCTTGGTGGAGAAATGGAGCGTGGAGACATTATACCTTCATCTGGTGTTCATTCAGATGTTTTCTTGGGAACCTGCATTGGTCCTGGAAAGCAGAGAGCTGGGAAGTTTTGTTTGCTCTGGGTGAGTTATAAGGAGGGTAAGTGGAAGATACTTAGGGAGAAAGGGCCTTATAAGGGCACAAAACTCACTCTAGGTTTATAATAGCTTATATTTTTTACTAAAAGGTCACCTTATAAACATCTATAAATTGGACTTTTTTCTTAGCTGTGGCCAAGCAGTCCTGTGTTTTTTTTTTTGTTTTTTTGTTTTTTTTTTTGAGTTGGCTTGTGTAAACCCAATCATTAATATGTTAGGGCTGCTTGGGAAGCAGTTTGGTGCTTTCAGGTATTTGCAGGGGAGGTACCTGATAGTCAGGTTCCCCGGACAGCTTTGTTTCTAGCCCTGAGATATAGAAGGGCAGCCTTCCAGACTCAGGCTTGGAGATCCTGAGCCACTAGGACTGAAGAATTCTGGTATCATCAAGGCCTGGGGCACTGCTAAATTTACCACTGAAAACCAACCCCAACAGTAGCTTCTATCTCATATTTTTTTTAACTTGCCCCAATAGTAGAAAAGTCTTCTGAAATGATTGATGATTTTTGTTCTATCTTGTTTATAAAAGGAAAAGAAATATACAAACTTTGAATCTTGTGATTTTTGTGAAGGTTTCTTTAAAATGTGCATTCCTCTCTGCTTGCTCGTTAGTAAATGTTTTACTACTGGGACCTGAGGGCTGTCGTTTCTACCGTACAGTAGTTGCTACATATTATTAAATTATGGCTTGGAACAGTACAGCCCGTGATGTGAAATGTGGGGAAGTGCTTGCTTATTAAACTATCAGAAAAGTTATCTCTTCTATTATCTTCATTTTATTCAAATAATGGAAAAGGGTGGGAGAGGACTTATGCTTCATCTAATCTATAACAAAGCCATTGACACTAAATTCCCTTAAAAAAGATTTATTTCCATCCTAAGTCCATCGTGAAAGATCAGGGAGTGGTATCAGTTGTCAGAATCATAAACAATTCCTTGATGCTTCATGGATGACCATCCTTCAAAGAGGCATCTATTGTAGAACTGTGGGTACACATAGCTCCCCCTAATCTCTGGGCAACAACAGGTTCCAAAACCACCAGAGGGAACTATGCATCTTCCTAATCTTTAGTCTCTTCCAGATGTCTCTGCTCACTTCCGCTTGTGTTTTTTCTTCTGTTCCTTCCGTTGTTGAGCTCTCTGGTCCTTCTTCATCCTGGAGTCCACTACCCTGAATTGACCTCTGACTCCAGCTGGCCGCCGGACCTTACGGCCTACACCTTTTTTGGCTACAACGTAGGTGACCTGACGTTTCTCCTTGCCAAGTCCAGCCTTCTTGTAGAGACTGTAAAAAGACGACACAGGTTATGGTCTGCTCTCTGGAACTCTATATAACCCAGTGTCTTTGTGCCTATTAATTACTCTTTGCCAAATTTACCTTCGCAGTTGTGCCACCTTTTCTCGTTCTGAGATATCCACGGTGTTCACCACAGCTTCTGCCTTCTTTTTGGTCTGCTCCAGCTTCTTCAGCATCTGGGAGGGGGCCTCAGTTAGGTGACTTCTTTCTCCATCTACCCCTAACCTCAACCTCCGCTACTTATACTTACCCTCCGTTTCTTTCTCGCCTTGGCCTCAGCTACTTTCTTGATGGGCCGTGCATTTATTTCCCGCCAGCGTTTTCGGTAATGTTCCACTTCCTTCTTGTCAATGGGCAGCTGGCGTATCCGGTGCTGCTTCTCCTCCTGCACAAACCACTCTGGAAGCTCCCCCTCATCTTCATTAAATGCATACCTGAGTAGAGGGGACACCAGGCCAGGGACCACCTGTTACTTTCCTATGAAAAGCCTTCCCCTAGCCCGTGGAATTTCATGATATTCTGGCTCTTACCGATTGAATGAGTTATCTATAAGGTCTCTCTTTGCCTTTTTGGAAGAGGCAATAACAGCACCTAGAGCAAGGCCTTCAGGATCCAGAATTCGATGTTTCGCTGGAAAGGGAAAGACAAAAGTCAAAGCCTGGTTCTCATCACTGAAACCTGCTCTGGTTTCCCCCTCCACTGTGTACAGACTTACCTGGGTCCTCAATAGGCACTACCTCAAACCCATCATCGTCCGCCTTAGACCCCCGGCTGCGCTTGATACCACGGGATGCTTTCCAGCTGTGCAGAAGACAGAACAGTGTTTACCCCTATCCACCTTGCCTCGACTCTGCTTTCCATTGCACAGAAACCCACCAGCTGTGCCCACTCACCTTTCTTCATCCTCACTGCTGCTGTCACTGTCTGAGCTGTTGACTTTGTCCTCCCCGCCAGGGTCACTGACACCTTCTGTCCCCAAGACAGCCTCTGTCTCCTTAGGGACCTCATTCTGGCATGGGGGAGGTTTTTTTTCAGTCTTCAGACTAGAAGGTTGTAGGGATGGCTCCTTCCGACGAGTCTTGTGCAGCAGCTGAGCCTGACTGATCTCCAGGGCCTCGTCAGCATCATCCTCAATTCCACTGAAGCCATCCTGGGAGAGAAAACCTCAGCAGCCCTTCTTGCATTCCAGGGAATGCCCATGTGTCCCGTCAGTCTCCCTGGCCCCACCTTGGAGAACCACAGGTTGGCTTGCTCTTCCTGCAGCACTGCCTTTTCTTCCAGTGGTACCAGCAATGGGTTCTCTCCCTCCTCCTCTTTAGTGTCATCCACTTGAGCAGACCGCAACCTAGAGACCCAAAGGAAAGTGAGGTGAAACTCAAGTGACAAAAACATGCATACCAGCGCCCAGAGGCCTTGCTCTCAGTGCCCACACCAGTTCTGTTTTGGGAATCAAGCTGAGGGTGACAGCACTTCCATTCACACACTAAGTCCTTACCACTTCCTGTCCTTCAGACTGGAATGTGTCCTGACTCCTGCCAGCTCTTCTGAATCCAGGTCACTGTCCAGAGAATTATCACTCTCCTCCTCCTCCTCAGCATCCGACACGTAGATGTCATCCGTTGGCAGATCAGACAGAAATGTGTCTGCAGCATTCATGTCTCCTTGTGTTACTTCCTCTAACAACTGAAGTCCAATAGGAATAGACTGAAGTACTTAATGGCAACACTGCAGTTCCCTGTACCCATTAACTTAAACACTGACAAAGGTTAGGGCCTACACAGCAGCTGTGACCTAGAAAAATAAAATGTCCAATTCTAGGTCCAGGGCTCCATACTGACTAATTTAAAAGTAACTCCGAAGTCACTTGAAATACCTGAATTCACATTTCTCTACATTTTGATCCTAAGTAGCACAAGACAGCTGATTGCTTTCAAGTACTCAGGACCAAAAACCCATCCTCAAGGTGGACACAGCTACTATGTGAGCATTTATCACAACACTCCGGGGATTATACTTAACCATTGTCTTAATTATCCATAAAACTCGAAGTGACAGCCGGGCGTTGGTGGCGCACGCCTTTAATCCCAGCACTAGGGAGGCAGAGGCAGGCGGATCTCTGTGAGTTCGAGGACAGCCTCCAAAGCCACAGAGAAACCCTGTCTCGAAAAACGAAAAAAAAAAAAAAACTCGAAGTGACTAGGCTACTTTACCACAAAAGCTCATTTTTCATTGGAAATTGCTTTTACTATGAAAGACATGTATCAGACAGAAGCATCAACCAACAGCCCAACGCAAGATGATCACTAGACACAGTAAAGTGAAGATGATTGTGCCCTATGGAGGAATCCAGTCCGTGTTGGTAACCCAGGCATCACAGCTTCATCTACTGCAGTATGAACCCTTGGTCTTAATACTCTAATCTTACAAATCTTCCTGATCTCATATTAGGCATGGTTCTTTTTAGCATTTGAGTCACAGAGTACTCTCATCTTTTGCTCCAGCCCTCCCTTACCTGATGACCCCGGATGGTACGCAGGGAGAACATGCCTGTCTCCCCCTCATCTGCAATGGAAACCCCAGGCAGATCCATCTTCAGCTCTACCCGCTCCCGCTGCTTCCTCTGCTCTCGAAGCAATTTCTTTTTCTTCCTGAACAGATAGTTTGAGGAGTTAATCTGCTTGGTTCCAAAAACCGTTACCATTTCCACATGCTCTCTCCATGGGCCTCACCTCTTAAGCTCTGCCACCTCTTGGGCTTTCATCTCTGCCAGGGTGCGGTTAAGCTGCTCCTCTTCTTCCTCCTCTGAAGCCTGCTTTGTCTCAGCTATTGACTCATCCTCATCACCTTCTTCTTCTGAGCTGAGGCTGGCACACCAATCCAAGGAATCTACTTATTTTCACAGACACTTGGTCCAACATGCAGCCACCCCAACCCTGGTTACGTCCTCCCCACCTGATGTCCAGGGCTTTTGCTTGTTCTTTCAGCTTCTTGGCCACAAACCGCCGAAGTTTTGTTCTCCAATTCAGTAGAGACCTGCCCAAGAAATGCTCTTCTTTAAGCCCACACTCACAATTTCAGACTTCAGCCACAAACTGAAACAGAATTCTGGTCCCCAGTCCAACATCATGTTATTCAAAGGCCTGTACCCTGGTCCTTACACCCATGTACCTAAGTTCCTTGCGCCCCAGAACTTTGATGTCCTGACAGCATGCTCTTATATCCTCAGTTGTAGCTGGATGCTGTGCCAACTCTTCATCATCTATTGAAATCTATTTGTGGGGAAAAGGAATGAAATTTCTGGACATGTTTCTGGGGCTCCCTCATACCCTCAATCTGCCAACTCACTTCGCTGGCCTTGGAGAGGAAGTCAACAGGATTGGCAGCTCTCAAGAAGTCAGTGACTGAGGTCCGGTGATAAAGAGTAAGGTCACCCTCAGCATAGCCTTCAGCCTTAGGAAGGGAAATAGATGGTCACTTCTTGGATGTCAAGCTTTCCCAGTTTCAGGACCCATTTCCCAAAACAACAAAAACACCTTTGGCTTCTTCTTTGTCACCAACTCCGTAACAGTTTTAGCCTGAACTTCAACCTCCTTAAAGGCAAACTTTGGATCGAAGAATTTACTGTCAACCTTGTCAGGAGCCAGAAACCCTAAAATATTAAGACAGATCAGAGGTATGCTTCCATAACTAGAAGGTTGTATCAAGAGCAAGAATAGTGATAGTGATGTCCCACCTTGGCAGACTACAAAAATTTCTGCAGATTCATGGCGAGAGGCCTGGGGCTTCGTGGCCTGGACACGGTGGAACAGCTGCTGAAAGATCCACAGCAGGGGCTGATAGTCACGGGAACGGAAGACTTTCGTGATGAAACAACCGCCACGGGCCAAAAAATCACAAGCCAAACGCAGCGCCATCAGTGTCAAGTTAGCTGTAGGACAGAGACAGTAAGAATCTGCAGCCTCAGGGTATGCCATGTCCACTGTCACCTCCAAGCCCTACATTGCCTGTACCTTGTGAGTAAGCATCATGAACCCAGCTAGCCCCAACGTTAGGAGCCCCATCATTGAGTACAACATCAACTTTCCATGTCTTCAGCTCCTTCCTCAGGGCCTAGTGAAAAGAAAAGGGTTTAGAGCAACAGAAACAAAGGAAAGGCTAAGAAATTCCTGGTTCAGTATTCTGTCTGATCACTTACTTAGTGCCCACCATTGGCAACATCCATCCTGTGCCAAGTACTAGGGATGCAACAAGAAACAACACTTCTGTCTTCACCAAGCTTTACTGAAGATCTCTTGTCCTTCCACCAATTCACAGCACTATTTCTACCAGGCATGGTGGCACATGCCTATAATCCCAGTACTCAGCAGGTAGAGGCTGAAAGCCTCCAAGATAAGGCCAACCTTCTTCCGTGTCAGTCTGCACTCCACAGGTATAAGCTAGTCTGCACTATACAGCAAAACCCTGTCTCCAGGAAAAAAGAAAACCTTGATCCTAAGATGGAGATGTGCACTAAGATGGTCATGGGTCTTTTGGGAGCATGTGCTTAAAAACCATGGTAAATTGGAAAGTGTTTCACCCTTAGAAGACAATGATGTCAGCACATAACAGGGCAGAAAGGAGAAATTCTTATTACCTGCCTACAGCGCTCTGTTGTGATATCTTCCTGGAGAGTCACAACATTGGGAAGAGGCTTGATTGGAACCAGGTCCACTCCTGGAAGAAGTTAGGTCAGTGTATGCAGAGGATGCAGAACAAAGTTAACACTTTTTTAACTTAACACACCCTCTCCCTCAAATACCCAGGAGAATCACTCACCCACAATAAGACTGGATACAGGCATAAACTTGGCAGCCACCTGCAGCCTGTGAAGGGTAGATTAAAATAACCTTTCCCTCCTTTGGCAATGTGGTGTCTCACCCCTTTTATGGGTACCTATCACATGTAGTGGCCAATGTCTTCTTGCATTCTCTATAGTCAAGAAGCAAACTGCTCCTTGAATTCCAGCACAGGCCTGCATTCCCAGCTCAAAGGAGGGCAAGGCAGAACATTCAAAAGTTTAAGGCCATCCCTGTCTCAAGAAATAATAAAGCAGACTGGGAATATAACTCAGAGGTAGTGCGCCGGTCTATCATGAGGAAGCCCTTGGGTGCAGCCACAGTTCAGGAAAAGAATGAAACTGCCTTCCAAAGTTTAAGAAAGAAACGATTACCACCCCAAAAGCAACTCTCAAAACCAATCAGGCCCAGGAAGGTGCCACCCTGCTAAGTGTTACCATCCTCCGGGCGCAGCGCACAGATCCAGCAAGGCCCGGGCTTTCTGCAGGAACTGAAAGCGGCGATTGAGCTGGATCAGTTTGAAGGCGGAGCGCGAACGATAGCCTGGAGCGGAGGGAGTTAGTTAGTGTATAAAACAATAACGTCTAGGACCTCACGACCCCATCACCCCCCTAAGGAAAAGGAATTCCGTTAGAAAAAGCGGACAGACTGAAGCGTCGTTCACGCAGTACGACTCACCAGTCTCCTTGGCCAAGTGGTAGAACTTGTCCCGCCGGCTCTTGCCGACTTTGCCTTTCTTGCCCATGGTGGGACGGGTACCGTCACTCACGGGAGGACGGGAGAGCTGAGAACACCTTCCCGGACACTGGGTGCTGCTTCGGTTTCTCAGCGGGCGACCATACCACTCACCGGGCACCTAGACAGCCCTGAAAGCCACAGGGTTTTCAACACCGGAAGTAGCACATGTAGGCAGCCAGCAATCGTATTTCCGCTTCCGCTCGCGTTTCCTGAATTCCCGGCTTTAAGCTTTCCGCCATTTTGAGTGTGGCCAAAATTTTCTGTCCGCGGGTCTTACAAATTAGAAAAGAAACCTAAGAAGGTCGCGTACGATTACTACTAACCTAGAATCTAGGGAACAGCAACCAGAGTTCTGTGTATCTTCACTCCCTCCCAAAGCTACTGACGGCCAGTAGCTGATCTCCATTAGAGCCTGTTATATTCTCGCCACACACCCCGCCCACTGACCCGGAAGTCTTCTCTGCCGGGTCCCAGGTCCTAGGCTTCCGCCTCCGCGCCTGCGCGATAGGGTGACTTGGATGCCGGCGGTCCCTGCCGAAAGAGGGAAGATGGCGCTTGATGGGCCAGAGCAGGTAAGGCTGCGGCGGCGGCGGCGGCAGCGGCAAGGCGGCCACCGAGCGGAGTGCGAGAGCTTATGATCTGAAGTGAGAGGTGGCCAAGAGCAAGGGGGTCGAGTGGGTGAAGGATGGGTGGGTGGACCACGGCAGACTGGCCCTGCCTGGGACTGGATCTGCTGTGTCAGCGCCGCCCGAGTTGAGCAGGACAGCGGTGGGTAGAAACTGAAGAAGAAGCTGGGCGAGCAGGAATGGCCTGGGGTTGGACCTGGACTCGGGTCCTCCCGTTTTGACTTTGTCTGTAGTAGTTAAACCTTGGGTTTGTATAGCTCTTGCCATAGAGAAAAGTGCTCCGTGTATTTATGGCCCCTTGAGCCTCCTAAAAGTCTTCGGAGGTGGGTGGTAATTGCATCCTTTTTTAGTGGATTCTAAAGGGAAGGGTTAGAACCAAGAACTAAGCCTCCGAAATTTGAACACAAAGACCTCATCCATCGAGATCTGAGGAAAGGGGATGCGATTTTTCTGGCCTTGTTTCTTAAGCCGTATGGCAACGTGCCCTGGAAATAGTTTGGCTTAATCCCTTAGCAGTTCAGGCACTTGTTTAACAGTTACTCTTGTCTTCAGATGGAACTGGAAGAGGGGAAGGCAGGCAGTGGACTCCGCCAGTATTATCTGTCTAAGATTGAAGAACTCCAGGTGAGTACAGACACCAGAGGGAGCTAGTCGAAGATGAGAAGTGATGGACTCAGAAACTGCAAGTCCTTATTCCACTGGGAGTTTCTAAACTCATTATTATGTGTGTGTGTATCCTTGCCTGTGTATGTTTATGTGCACCATATGTGTGCAGGTGCCTGTGGAGGCCAGAAGAGGGCAATGGATCCCCTGGAGCTCGAGTTACAGGTGGTTATGAGCTACCATGGATACCGAGAACTAAACCCAGGCCCTCTGCAAAAGCAGGGAGCCCTCTTAACTGCTGAGCAGTCTCTTAGGCCCCTTCTTTGTAGTTAGGAGTTAACAAGCCGGCTAAAGTATATTAATAATCTCCTGCCCTAAATGCTGAATCCTTTGATTTAGTATTTATTATTTTCGTAGTATTTAGTTACGGCTTGCTTGCTTTTAAGGTTATCATTTTATTTTATGTGGATGGGTGTTTTGCCTGCGTGTATGTCTGTGTGCCACACATGTGCCTGATATCTGTGGGAGCCAGGAGAGGGTGTCAGCTCCCCTGGAACTGGAGTTACAGAAAATTGTGAGCCACCATGTGGGTACTGGGAATCAGAGCCAGCTTCTGTGAAAGAGCAGCCAGTACTTTAAACACTAAACCACCTCTCTAGCCCCAAGAGTCAAATTTTAATTTAAAAAAAAAAAGGTACCACTGGGTGGGGCATGGTAGGCATACCAGTAATGCTGAGGCAGGAGTAGTATTGTGAGTTTGAAGTCAGCCTCCATGATATAAAATCCTATCTGGAAAACAAAACCTCTTGCAAAAGGCACAGTGAAGGCCGGGCATTGGTGGCACACGCCTTTAATCCCAGCACTCGGGAGGCAGAGGCAGGCAGATCTCTGGGAGTTCGAGGCCAGTCTGCTCTACACAGTGAGTTCCAGGACAGGCTCCAAAGCCACGGAGAAACCAAAAATAAATAAATAAATAAAAAGGCACGGTGAGCCAAAGGTGTAAGTGGGAATGAGAATGGGTTTGCAAAGACACAGAGATTACTTGAGAGCCCCAGGTGCATTTACAGCAATTCTATTTGGTTTACCCTTTCTTTTTTAGGCAGTGTCTCGGTGTGTACCCCCAGCTGACCCAGAACTTCTGTAGATCAGGGTGGACTCAAACTCAAGGATTCTCCTGTCTCTGCCTCCCAGGTGCTGGGATTAAAGATATGAGCCACCACACCCATTTTTTAATGCTTCTACATGTGATTTCATCACCCTCGGGTCTGAAATAAACAGGATAGTGGATGCTGGCGCCTGGTGCAGTTTAAAGACATATCTTTTTTTTTTTTTTTTTTCCCAAGATAAGTTTTTTGGTTTTTGAAGATAGGGTTTCTCTGTGTGGCCCTGGCTGTGGTCTCACTCTGTAGACCAGGCTGGCCTCAAACTCAGAGATCCACCTGCCTGTGCCTCCCAAGTGCTGGGATTAAAGGCGTGCACCACCATACCCGGCTATGCCTACCTTTTAAACTCACCTAATTTTAGTTTTTGAAATCCTAGTTACATCACACATATATGCACGCAGCACGCACACACACTTCTTCCAGTCCCTCCTATACACTACACGCGCTCTTGTTCTTTAGGTTTTGAGCAATTGTGGTTTTCTGTAATTGTCTCCATTTGTTGCCAAGTTTCCTTGATAAGGGGTGAGAACTACATTTATCTGTAGTTATAAGATAGTAGCATGTAGTTATGGACTGTGCTGTTCTAGTAAAATGGTGGGTGTGGACTTATCAACATTGGCTACTTCACTAGCCCAGGGTAGTTGGCTAGATTTCCAGTCCCAGGCACGCTTCCCTCCTGCTAAACACACGGTATGCGTGCCACTATTGTTGTAGTTCATAGGCACCATAGCTAAGTAGGACTGTTAGTTGCTTCCTCCCTTGGAATCTTGCATGGTTCCTTTTAGTACCATGAAAGCTAATCCTCAGGGAAAGGGCTTTTAGGTCTGATCCAAATTACATGCTGAGTCTTCTATTGGAAGTGCATGGTGGCAACCAAGGGCAACAGCAGTCGCCTATAATGTTTTGAGAGTCTCTTAGATGACTCCATCAGTTCAAAAGGTGGATACTCATACCTGGTGGGGTTTTTATTAGCTAGTCTATGGCCCTTGAGTGGAGTATTGTCAACCCAGATGGCAAATTTTCATTTAAACTATATGAGTAAGTATATCGTCTCATATGTATTATGTATTATTTTATGTAGATGTTTACTTTCCTGGTTTCTACAGCCACTCGAGGTTAAATACACAAATCTGAAGACCTGTCCTGGAACTAGCTCTTGTAGACCAGGCTGGTCTCAAACTCACAGAGATCCTTCTGCCTCTGCCTCCCGAGTGCTGGGAGTGCATGCACCACCACCACCACCACCTAGCTAGGAACTAACTTTTAACTGACAGCAGTTGAGCTAGAACTCAGGCTTCTCACCTGAGGATCTTCCATACCACATTCTGTAGGGAGAGATCTTATGTACCTAGCGCTGATCAAGTACCTGTAGCGCTGACCCTACAATTTTCCATCTCCAGAAGCCACTCCATGAGAAGCTATTTCTCCATTAGATCCTGTTATTCTTGCCTTCTGTGATGGCTGCCTCGGGCTCCTTAGGGACAGAACAGGGTCTTCAGATACTGCTGGAGGTCTGAAGCAGCAGCTCAAACCTGTGTATAAGCATCTGAGCAAGTCCCGGTTTCCTACAGGCTATTTATTGCCTTTGAGTAATGGAATGTGTCTCTTGTTCTCCACAGCTGATTGTAAATGATAAGAGCCAGAATCTCCGAAGACTGCAGGCACAGAGGAATGAGCTAAATGCAAAAGGTGAGAGGGGAGAAGATGGAAAGCGTAATGTGCTGGTTGATGCAAGGTCTGAATGTTCCCAGCCTTTCATCTTCTGCAATGCTTGCTGTCTCCTCTCAGCCTAAAGTGATGTTTTTCAGTGTTCATTATGTAGTTTACCATGCATACCTCCTCAAAGATCCACTGGAAACCCTTTTCATGACATAAGTTCTTTCCTTCCAAATCAAAGTGGTCTTTAGTTTATACATACTGAATTGGGTACCAAGGAAATACTTAATGAGAAGCTGGGTGACTGGTAGGTTTTTATGGTTGCTTTCTGTTTAGTTTGTTTTTTCCTATTTAGTTCGCCTATTGCGGGAGGAGCTGCAGCTACTGCAGGAACAGGGCTCCTATGTTGGAGAAGTAGTGCGGGCCATGGATAAGAAAAAGGTGTTGGTCAAGGTAAAAGCAGCATAACCCAAGGACCAGCCTATTGCATTCCCACTGTTTGTATGTAGCCTTGTGTGGTGTACTTTCCTGTGGTACTCCTGGTTAGGGGTGATGTGCTGACTGTTGGAGAAAATGAGCCCTTATTTCTTCAGGTCCATCCTGAGGGCAAATTCGTTGTTGACGTGGACAAGAACATTGACATCAATGATGTAAGTGAGCTGGTGATGTTGTGGGCGGGGGAGCAGTGCTACCACTGTATCCTGAAGCCCCTCTCCCCCCTTCATCCAGGTGACACCCAATTGCCGAGTTGCTCTAAGGAATGACAGCTACACTCTGCATAAGATCCTACCTAATAAGGTGGACCCTCTGGTGTCACTAATGATGGTGGAAAAGGTGCCGGACTCAACTTATGAGATGATTGGCGGGCTGGACAAGCAGATCAAAGAGATCAAAGAAGTGATCGAGCTGCCGGTGAAGCACCCTGAGCTCTTTGAAGCCCTGGGCATCGCACAGCCAAAGGTACACACCAGGCTGCCTCCCACTGAAGAGCAAACGGGAGATTTCCACAGCACTGTGCTAATTTGAATAGTCTGGAAAGGACATTGGTCTTCACCTTTTACGTCCCTGACACAAAGCCTTCTCTTAGTGCATGCTTGATAAATGAAAGGAGTTGTTTTTTTTCCCTAAGTGTGATGTGCCCCCCCCCCAGGGAGTGCTCCTGTATGGACCCCCAGGCACTGGGAAGACATTGTTGGCCCGCGCTGTAGCTCATCATACAGACTGTACCTTTATTCGTGTCTCTGGCTCTGAACTGGTACAGAAATTTATCGGGGAAGGTA